CCCTTAAAGCTCACTTGGGTGAAGACAGCAAAAAAGCAGCATGCAAGAAGCGGCAAAAAATGTTAATAGATTCTATCTCACCTGGGAGAAATACACTGATGATAGACTACTGATGAATGAAAGACAGCTAAAAACCACAGAATGAGGCAATTTTTGCTGCCTCTGAGCTTTGTGGAAGGTAAATGGAAGGGAAAATTACTTAAATATCACGAACATGATGGGAAGAATTGCAGTCACAGATTGAAGAGATTTTTCTTCGTTGGTTGCTAAATCTTCTCCACGGAAGGTGCAGAGGCCGTGACTCTGGCCTTGCTGTATGCAGTGGGGCTTTGGCGATCAGGAAATTGTAATTCATTACTGGTCATGGTGCATTCATTCTGCCACTTAAGACTGAAGCCCCACAGCACTGTTCAGTTTATTTCATGAAATGAGACAGTCAGGCTACCATTGTACCTGTAGGATGATACACCTACATTCTGCAATTGCAGCAACCTATTTAATGCTGACTCTATATCTCTTCGAAGATATTTATGCTTCCTTTGTAGAAAAATAATGGATTAATTAAGAAAATTATTTCCAGACTGATGGGCTCTGGACATAAAGCATGCCTAATTATAACCACAAGCTAGATCATGACTCCATAATTTTATCACTAATCTTCTAGAATTTTTTTAACCTACCCAGTTGATCAATCCTTGTGTTTTTCACTGGGGTTATGAGTGCAGCTGAAGGGAAGGGCTCGGTTTGTAAGTGTGCTCACAGTGCAGAGCCCATGGAGCATCACTTCTGTCTGCAAGAGAAGCTGAAGGATGTGATACCTACTGCATGTAGAGCAGGTGACCTGCTGGTGTAAGTGGAAGTATGTTTGCTGGGGAAATGAACTGAAAAGATATAGAGGAGAAAAAAATTGGAAGATAAATACCACTGTCAATGGCAGCCTTTAGTGACCTCAGCAGAGCAGCTTGGATATGACAAGAAATTCAGGCTGAAGAAAGTTGATGATTTATAGACTATATGTAAGAAGGCTGATGTCTATTGATATGAATTATAAGTAAGGACAGATTATCTGTCGAAAGAGGAAACTGTCTTCAAAACCAAATGTTTCTGAAAAATGATTGACACCAGGTGAGATGTCACATTCAATTAAATGAAATGATCACAAACTCTTCCAGTAGGTTAAGAAAAGTGAGCAGGACAAACCGAGTGGCACTGTGACTATGGACTAAAAGGTTACTAGATGGATGTCCAACCTTCCAAAAGCTGATAGAGAAAATACCCTAGTATTTTAAGGATTAAATTATTACATTCTAAGAGTCTCACATATATGCATTTGCATGTACAAACATAATTATATATAGATTTGGGTTTTTTCTTTTCTCATACTATAGTTCAAGAGTTTGTCTATTGGATACACATCAGATATGTCAAGAGCTAATAGCAATTTTTTTATTAGAAGCAACAGAAATGTCTTGAAACAGTTATTATTGCTTGCAAATTATATGATGGCTCGCAGAGGAAAATCTGGAGTTCTTTTACCATGTTACACGGTGAAAGTAAACTAATTCTGTCCAGCACAAGTATTTGATTCCCGAAAATTATGCATAGGTATCTGCATATTGGTGATTTTTACTACAGAACTTTTTACTAAAGGTAACTTAAATATAGGCATGTGCTAAATCCTGAAACAAGACTAGCTATCATTTGCACTGTTCATCTTTGGATCTCAGCTCTGCCTCTGGGTGTGTAACTTGTGTCTGGCATGCGAGAGGACGAAGTCATAGTGCAGTTGCCAGTTCTGTAACTGGCTGACAAAAGCCATCAGTACTACGTAATGTTGTTAAACATGCAAATTATCTTCCCCTACTCTGCCTGTGTCATGTTTCTAGCTCCTGTAAAAGTAATGGATGCATCTCTAACATGTTTTAATTCCAGAATCACTTATTTTAAATTTCCTAATGCTGAAAACTATAAATGTGTGTGTAGTAAACACACACATGGTACGTTACATTTTGAGTAGGAATGGCTAGAACAAGGCTATGTCATAATTAATGTCTTGAGGTTATTAAAATATTATAGTGCTAAACGGTTCATGAAGAAAATGTATCAGTGACATAAACTGGTTGCTAATTGTGTTAGGACAATAACTGTTTTCTTAAAGCAAGTAATGACCTGTTGTTTCTCTCTTGCTTTTCATTAGGTGCTAGTCATAGCTGATGCAGGATGAGTCAAACAAAAAGACTCAGTATCCTCCCTCTAACAGTGGCTATAAGCAGATAGTAAAGAAAGAATGCGAGCATAAAGCATGCAGTGATAGTTCCCTCCAATTTTTCCCCATTTGGCAACTTTCTGACCAGAGGAATGTTTTGTAATCAGTCTTTTTTTCCTTTCCGTTAATTTGTCCAGTCCCTCAGCAAGAGAATTCCTTAGCTTACCCTATTCCTGCATCAAGAATCCCATTCATTTCAACGCTGTATTTTATCCCCACAGATTTTAATCTTTCAAAGTAAAATATGAGAATTAAATATGTTATAAACCATCTGTTTTTTTGTTTTCATAGATTCACAAAAGTCTACAGCTGGAAGCCACCTCAGAAAGTCCCCAAAGCACCATCAGTTATGCGTGAGCTGCTACTGACAAGTGTTCTTCACAGTTTCCAGTGCAGACATTCTACATCTCTTTTCAGGTATCTTGAATTATTTTTAACTATTAAATATTCTACAGTTGGAGAGACTCATTTCGCTCCCTGTAAAGCCTCAATTAAATCTGTATGCTTTTAATTCAAACCTGTTATTTCTTGGCTTACACACAAAGGTTACAAAGAACAGCTCACATTAAATATTTTTGCTTTGAAATAGTTTTAAATATGTTGTTACATTTTCTCCATCTTTTCCAGTTCTTCCACTTACTTCAGTTATATGTAAATTTAAGCAGCATTGCTGCGGTCCTCTGGATATTCATCTAGCTGGGCCACAATTTTCTTTAAATAAAGCACTTTGAGCTATACATCATCTTCAGGTAATCCTTTACCAGCGATAAAGTAGGATGGGTCTTCACATCTTCCATACAAGCCTCCATCCCAACAGGGCAGCCTTTTTTCACCACATTATGGTCCTGTGGACTCATTTTCAGCTTCTCATCTACTACAGAATCATAGAATGGCCTAGGCTATAACCCCAGATCCTTTTCTGCAAATCTGCTGCCTGGCTATTCCTTCCTATCACAACATGTCCTAGCTTTGTAGAGCTTTATTTCTCAAGATTTTTAATTATAACCTTTTCCTCATAAATGGTTGGAGCTCTACCCAGTTTACCACCATATGCAAGGTGTAAAAGCTCCTTCTCTCTTCTGACACTGAGTTTGTTAACAAATATATAGAACAGTGCTGGACCCAGACAGACTCTTGCAGAACTCCTCACAGCACGTCTCTGGTCTAACAGGGCACTTGCCCTCTGTGATATTTCTACTCATATCAGGTGTCTCAGGAGACTTGAGAATGTCTTGTGAGATGGTGTGAAAATCTTATTTAGAAGTTAGGTAGCTAATGCTAATACCCGTTTCCAAGGCCCGTTGTCGTATTGTAGCAATGAATGTGACTGCATTGACATTTGTTCTTGATAAACCAATGGAGGATATTACTTACCACCTTATAGTACTCCAGCTGCTTACAAAAAGAATTATAATTTTATTTTGTATTTTAATATGCATAAAATCTAAATGAAAGCTTTAATAAATTGAAGCATCATTAATTTTGAAAATTCGGTATTAATAGAACTGTGCACCTAAGGGACTGTGCTATGTGTTATGTGTCATGGCTGTTGTCCTCTTATGATGCCTACACAAATTTTCTTAAATAGTGAGCCTTGGAGTCTTCAGTGCCTCCTTTTCCCTCTCCCACTGCAAACTGTTACCAACAAATAACTGTAATACATCCAGCACTTTTGGGAAGGAGAAATTTGCACCTGGCTGGGCCACTTCTACCACCCTGGGGGCAGATAACATGCACCTCAAGAAAAGTGTATTGGCAGTGGCTAGGGCTAGGAGAAGGAAATGTGACCAGACTCTTCTGAAACCACATTCTTACTGATAATATTTCCTTGTTCAATAGAAGTTTATCGGTTTTGTCTGGCTTCTCAGTTAAGCTGATTTGTTTTGTTAAATTGCTAGGTATGTGGAAAATAAAATTTCTCCATTTAAAATACAAATATCTAAGACTAAGTAATGCTAAATAACATTTAACGTTGCTTAGTTATTGCCCTTGTTTCTTGCAGCGTAGTCTCTCCTAGAACCCACCAAACAGACAGGTCACGTGCTGTGACTAAGAGCGTGAGTTAGTGGAACGGTTGACCACCAGCTCCAAGCACCCACCCGAACCACCTACCCAAACCTGGCCTCCCCAGTAGCCAGCAAACGACTTCTCTTGGGGGGACGCAATTTAAGTAACAGCTTATTCCATGCGAGTAATTTTATGCGTGACCCTTGAAGCCCAGGTGTGACATAACCGCTGTAGCTTTCACTGTGTTCGCTTGTTATCTTGGAAACTGCCCTGGCCATTCCTTGCTTTATAGGGAGCAAATTTACTGGTATCAAGTGATGACGTAAACTGAGATTAGACCAAATAATGTATCTGTGGGCTAAAAAACATTTTTAGGATGAGATACGAGTAGCCACTTGAGAGATCAGCAGTGCTCTAATGCTACTTTGGGAGCTACTAAGCTTTTTTTCCCTTGAAATAGACAATTTGAGGAAAGATCAACCCTGTAATACAAGGCACATACATGAATACCAATTATTTAGGTATAAGTTTGGGAATATCTCTTTCAGTACTGGTTTAGCATGGTTCATGACACTGAAAAAGTTCTTGAGGCTATTTTTGTGGACGTAGTGATAGGGAGCCCTTCAGCAGGGCTCCACGAACATATTCTGGGTCTGCTGTAGTATCTCTTTGGGTAGATACACCAGAAGTCCATACACAAATAAATGCACGTTATCAGAAGTCAGGGACAAGTGCTCACTCCAAGTTTTTATTAAAATTGAACACAGGGAAGTATTCAAACATACTTCTGGTTGAGATCTAGAGAGCTAATATGTTTTTACGATCACCTGCTTTTACAGTATTTCTGAATCTCAGTTAACCCTTTTGAGCGTACATTCAGAGGACCATGAAAGTGAGCAAGCACCTCGTTGTTCAGCCAACAACCACTAAATCATCACTAAGAAACTGGTAAGTTGGAACCTCAAGGTTAAGGGGAGCGGGGCCTTTCCTGATTCTGCCAGAGGCATCGTAATGGGACCCGTGGCAAGGGCAGTAATAACCGCCAAAATCTCCGGAGTTAGCAATGGGTACACAGCCGAGGTGAGTGCAGACACCTACTAATATGACCCATTCTGGTTTCTTTACTCTGTCTAAGTCATGCTGCGGATCCCTCAGTTTAGACACATCAACTTCAGCTTCCTGCTTAATCTCTGCCTGGGTTCTGTGACGCACAAAAAGGGGCTTCCCTCTCCACTTGAAAGCCATGTTCTTGCCTTCTGGAATGTCAGATAACTTGATCTCAATCTTTGACAAGGCTAGCACATCGGCAGAGGCGCTCAGGCTGGAAATAAACTGGGTGACAACATTCTTAGCAGTATATGCAGTTGCTACGCATGTCGTTGCAGTCAGCAGGTAGGAAAACCCTTTTCTAGCTTCACTGCTGCTTTGAGAAGACGTGGTGGCATCTAGCACGTCTTGTCGACGATAGGCAGAGAAGTCGGGTACCACGACATCATTATGGACGTAACGAACGCTGGCAGGTGCTGCAAGAAAAGAGTGTGAAATGACAACGCTTTCAGGTAAAACATAGCTTGATGTATTTTAAGTTATACTTTTCTAATTGCATTTTTGGAATAATGAGTAAAAGTTACTCCAAAGTCTGGATAGGATCCTGCTACTTAAATGTTTATTTCAGTTTTAAGTTGTAGGAAAATGGTTTCCAGAACATATTTTTCGTAGATGAACAGGTAATTTGTGAAACCATTTTACCTATCCTTTGAAAATTACACAAAGCCTGATAAGGGTACAGAAAAATTTACAAGTTCTGGGTTTAAAGTTTTTTTCTGTAGATCTCAAGGAAAAACTTCTGCAGGATACTGTAACTAGCTAAGAAGAGACAGACCTGTTTTGCATGTTTCCCTGACAAATACTGCTGTGAAGACATTCAACTTAGTAACATTTTCACATCTGTACCTTAACGCTTTTGTACTTTCCTTTGATGAAAGTAACTTCTATGCCTTTTATAGTCTTAAGTGTGTGGGTAAGAATTTTTAAGATTAGAAATGCGCTATGAGGCATCTCCCTTTGTATTAAACTGTTCTCATAGCTTATTGCCCCAGTAAATAACATTTAAACCAGCAGACCTGGATTTGCCAGGCTCACTTCATACAAGGAGTTAGGGATAAAGCTAATAACTCTCCAATTACCAAGCTTTTCAAGTGGGATTCCCACATCAAGCCTGTGTGCTAAACTAACAAGATGTGATGGCTAAGAGGCCTTCCATCAGCTTCTCCAGCAAAAGAAAGCTGCTTCCCTCCAGGAAAATCTATAAGCCAAAGACCGAACACAGGACTTGCCCAAGTGCAGCCTCTGTTATTTGAACATAACATTTTAGTCTATTTTTTTCCTAGAAGTTGGCACAAAGTTAACAGAGGTTAATAAAAACCATTCTCTGACATTACTTAAATTGCAATATAATGGGAGAAATATTTACATTCACTTACAAGTAACTCAGCATAAATAAAGTATTTGCACTAGGATTTTAATTGCAGAGAAATTAAACTGAAATTCAGAATTTTGAGAGAGTAAACCATACTTAATTCAGTATGAATACTTATGACACATTTAGTGACAAGCAATACAATTAACTTCTAAAAATTCCTTCCACTCAGTGAAAAGTGTGCTTGATATTAAGCTAAGAGTAAACTAAATGTTAGCTACACTAATTATAGGTTTGTACAATTTTCACCTGAGTATATCCTTTAGGGTTGAGGGCTGGGAGAAGTGTGCACATCTAAAGACTACACGGCATCTTCCACATAGCGCTACCATCTCCAAGGCTTCTATGATTATCTCATGCAACAGTACGAATTACCCCATCTAACAGCATGAAGCAAACTCTTCCTAGGTGCCCAGCACCGGCAGGGCAGGGGCTCTCCATGACTGAGGATCAGTTGGTTCTGTGCAGAACCACTGCTCTTTGGCTGGGAGCCAGGTTCCGCAAGGACAACCTGGGACTAACTTGACGTGGCCGATGCTTTTCTGAACGCAGCATGAGCTGGGGGGAGATACAGGAATTCCAAAAGAGCAAAGAGTGATGGCTCTGACATTGTGATTTCACTCTCAGAGCTGTCTTTTCTGCAGCAGTAAAACACACACGGTGTGTTCTCACTGCACATCTCTGCTGTGCTGCCCCTCACTTAAACACTTCATTGAACTTAATGGAATCTCCCTTCCCCTGCCCAGCTGCAAAACCCACCCGAGTCAGTGAAAGGCAGCTGGCTTTCAGGTGCCTTAACTCTGTGGGCACAAACGCGCATTACCCTAATGCCGACAATCTGCAATCAGTATTTTTTATGAAAAAAAAAAAAAAAATAGAAGCAAAAGCCAGAACCTCCCACCTCACTCAGGCCTCCGCTTCCCCCAGCCCGCCAGGCCCGACCCTCCGGCCCCGAGCTCC